CATATAAAAAAATGAGTATACATTTATTAAAAAAAAAAAAAAAAAAAACCCAAACCAACAAAAACCAGTCACACTAATCGTTCTAGGTCAATACGGAAACACACAACCCCGAGCTATAAAAACACACTTAGAAATTTCGATGGCATTATTGCTAGAGGAAATAAAGAAAAATGAATTTTGGTACTGAATATTTCTGGAAATTCAGGACTATGGACATCAGATCCCATTTATAGATTATTCCGAGAACCATCCCAGTCCACGTTCCTTTCCGAACTGAACCGTCTATTAAAACCGTGATAAGGTGGCTGACTTACCTGACCACCACCAGAAGTTGCCATGTTGGTCTCTGCCACTCCTTGACCTTCATTCTGCTGTTCGGCTTCTCGTGAGCCGGCGTCATGCTTGCTCTGGGATGACCTCTGTCAACATGGAGTTAGCATCACTACGGGCAAAGATGGAGCATGCTTTCTGAAGCCCGCAGCTTCTCCCCCTTTTGTTTTAAAGCTCGGAATGCAGCAGTCACGGGCTGACAAAGGCGAGGGCTGCACACACACTTCATCACCCCCAGTAGCTCGGCAGCCAGCGGCCTCGGTGAGAGGCAAGTGCAGCGTGTCCCTGGAGCCCCAGAGCCGCACAAGACAAAGGGTTTTCTGAGCCTCGCGGAGACACCATCCTCCACCAGCTGTGCTCACATCACTATCAGGAATATAGCCCAACTAGAACAAATAACTGTCTTTTCTGCAGGGTCACATGACTCTGGCACTTAATGGAGCTGCAGATACAACAGTTAAACTCTCACCTAAGCTTACGAATATCTCTGGCAGGCAAATCTGCAGAAAACGTACACATCTTCTGCTAATAAAAGTCACAAATCAAATGAAAAACTCCTAGATGCTGCTATGAATAAAACCCCCAAATCTTTTCTAATGCAACCACCATCTGTTACATGAAAGAAAAAGGACAGATTATATCCAGTAAAAGCTGTCATTCTGAGAGAGATTATATACAGTATAAAACAGTCACTTTGCAAAAACAGTAATGCAGAATCAAATAAGGTCATTTTCCACAATCTTTTATAAAAACAGCTATGTGCTTGCTCCGGGAAAATGATACTCTAAAAATAAAAATTATACCTTAAAAATATGACATAATATTGAATCATAAAATGGCTCCCACTGGAATTTCTTTAAATACCAAGCTTTCCTACATCATTTTAATATGTGACTTAAAAATTAATTTACGTAAAACATTTCCATCAATAAACCAGTATTTGTCACATGGAAGAAAAACAAGATGGCACCCACTATCTCAGAAACAGAAGAAAAAACAGCACTGACTGGAAATCGCTGTGATAGTAGACAAAATCGGCAAGAGCAGACATACGCCAAGGAACCCGAGACGGAATGTCAACAATCAAGGACCACTTTGCCCACCGAGACTCAACAGTACCGTAAGCGAAGACATCAGTATCCTCAGACCAAACATGGGCTGACGGCTGCTGTGCCTGTCACTTACACCAGGTGCTGGGACACAGTGCCGGGGGAGATGCCACCTGTGCCCTCCTGGAGCTCACAGTCCAGGGCCATCAGGTCACTGGCAGCAGAATGTGGACGCCCTGACCAGGGCCACGGGGAGGCGTACGAGGAGGAGCACAGGGACGAGGGGCTGACAGAGGGGTGTGGCATGTCTGGAGGCTGAAGGACACTGGGGAAAGGGGTGGGCAGAGGACGGGCACCCGGGAACAGGAGGTCACAGGTCAAGGCCCTGGGGTGGAAGAGAGTGGGGTTCGCTCCAGCACATAACGAGGTTGGTGTGGCTGAAGCACTAGAAGAGGGAAAGTGAAGAAGGGGGTGGTAAAAGCAAACGTACAGACCTCAGTGAATCTGAGCATGATTCTCAGATGGCACCTTTTCACCTTTCCTCTCTTTTTTTGAGAGAGAGATTTTTGCTATAGGGCGTGTGCTCTCGCCAGAGAGACAGACAGCAAAAAATCACCCTCCCAAAGGGGGGTGGCCATGCCACAATCCTTTCTCTTCCATTGTCCTCAGAGTTTTGGGCATGCACACACACGTCACCGGTGAGCTTTGAGCTGCCGGGTCCAGGACTTGAGCCGCAGTTGACTACATGGGAGTCCAGCGATGCAACCATTACGCCACCTGCTGGTCCCTGCCTTTGCCCTTTCTAAGCTGTGGTGAGGTGGTGTCACCACTGCTCCTACTTAATTAATACTGATATGTTAAGGGGAACGCTGCGTGCAACCCATTTTTAAAGTCATGTTTTAAACGGTGTTAAGTGGGCGGAAGACAGAGGAACCAGTTAGGGGGCCCGTGCACGGACAGAAGTGGAGGGTGATGGTATTTTGCACTGGGGAGGCTGGGGGAGAGAGAGAGCAGAGACAAAGAGCAATCAGACGTATCTGGTGACAGTGACCATGAAGAGTGAGGGGAGTGGTCTGTAGTCAAGTGTGACTTGTGTCCCTTAGCTTCCGGCTTGGTGACGGCAGTGCCATTCACACCAGCACCCCGGAGGAGGAGGAGGAGGGTCTTGGTTTGGGGCTGGGGTGGTAAGAAGAGCTCAAAGAGAAGATGGTTAATTGCACTGGAAGCAGGTGGGATCTGATATGTCTACCAGGATGCAGAAGTGGCACACAGATGTGGGAGTCTGGAGCTCAGGGCTGAAAAAACAAAACTTGAAGCCAAGAGCATATAAGTGGCAATGGGAGCCCTAAGCACAAACGAGACCATCTTAGGGAGAAAAGACACAGGGAAAGCATAGCGACCTTTCAGGAAGGCCTACGATCAAAGCCCAGACCATGGCGGTTC